AGCAGCAGGGTTGGTGTCTACAGGTTTTGCTTACGGCGCCCTGATGTCGTCTTCATCATATATATCTGGTTGCTGCTGCTGCAGTTTCTGCCTGCTGCTGCTGTTCCTGCTGCTGCTGCTGCCAAGAGCAACTGGCGAGTGCTGCTGCTGCTGTTGCTGCTGCTGCTGCTGCAGCCGTTGCTGCTGCAGGCTCGTGCTGCTGCTGCCGTTATCAGCAGCAGCAGCTCCTCTAGCTGCCCGCCTCCTCAGTAAGCCTGTCTGCGTCGCATGCATCTGCTGCTTCGACTGCTGCTGCAGCTGCTGCTGCTGCTGCTGCTGCTGCTGCTGCAGGGGTAGTGATAGCCCCCTTTGTATTGAACAGCCCAGCCGCTGCAGCAGCAGAACTGCTGCTTCCTCAGCTAGAAGCTTCGTCTCTCCCCGCATATCAATGATATGCACAAAACAACCTTGTAAACGCCAGTATCTGCTGCTGCTGCTGCTGCTGCTGCTGCTGTTGTTGCTGCTGCTGCTGCTGCTGCTCTCTGTTTGCATGTACAGTGGGAGACGGTCCTGTAGACATTCAAGGAATTGCTGCAGCACAAGTGCTTCGGTTTGCTGCTCTGTGTTGCCTCTTGCTGTTGCCTGCTGCTGCTGCTGCTGCTGTTGCTGCTGCTGCTGCTGGTGTTCTTGCTGCTGCTGCTGCTGCTGCTGCTGCATCTCAGCAGGTGCTAGCCTTCCTCCCCTCGCAAACAGGGCTATCTTCTGCTCCAGTTGAGAGGCAGCAGCTGCTGCTTCTGTTGCTGCTGCAGTTGCTGCTGCTGTTGCTGCTGTTGCTGCTGTTGCTGCTGCTAGACCCTGAAGCAGCTCGGAGGGAGAGAGACAGAGGCAGCTGCATTCGTTGATTTGCTGCTGCTGCTGCTGCAGTTGCTGCTCCGCCTGCTTCTGCTTTGCCTTGAGCTCAACGCAGTCCCCGTGCTCCTGCTGCATGTCCTGCTGCTGCTGCTGCTGCATCTCCTGCTGCTGCTGCTGCTGCTGCTGCTGCAGCAGCAGCAGAAAGCGCAGCTGGCCTAGCTCCCTGCACGCCTTCAGCAGCTGCTGCAGCTGCTGCAGCACCGAGGGGGGTGTTCGTGACAGCAGCAGCAGCAACCACCGCACGTGGTGAGCCAGGAAGCGGCGACAGCTGGATAGGCTGCTGCTGCTGCTGTTGCTGCTGCTGTTTCTGCTGCTGCTGCTGCTGCTGCTGCTTTCATCTTCCTGTTGTATCTCAGCAACAGCAGCATCAGTCCCTGCAGCAGCACTACAGAGCCCATCAGCTAACTTTGAACGTGCTCGCTGCTTCTGCTGCTGCTGCTGCTGCTGCTGCTTCTGCTGCTGCTGCTGCTGTTGCTGTTGCTGCTGCTGCTGCTGCGGGAGGCAGCAGCAGCAGGGGTGCAGCAGCGCGTGGTCGATCGGCTGCTGCGCATTCAGCAGCAGCTGCGGCTGCTCTGTGAATATGCGGCGGTGAGTAAAGACATAAGACAAAATAAAATACAAATAACAAACTCCTGCCTCCCCTTTCTCTCCCTGCAGCAGCAGCAGCAGCAGCACCAGCAACAGCAGCAACAGCAGCAGCAGCAGCAACAGCAGCAACATTCGTGCTCGCGTCATCATCTCAGCTGCTCTACTTGTGCAGCAACAACAGCAACAACAGCAGCAGCAAAAACAGCAGCAGCAACAGCAGCAACAACCTCTGCAGCACATCCATCATCATCAGCAGCAACAGCAGCAGCAGCAGCAGCAGCAGGAGCAGCAGCAGCAGCAGCAGGAGGTTACAGCTAGACGTATGAGTGTTTCTGCTGCCAGCAGCGCAGCATGAGGAGAAGCAAAACGACCAAAAGAGAGACAATGCAGCAGCGGCAGCTGCGCCCAACACTCGTCCTCGCTCAGCCCCTCCACAGCTGTACATACACCCGGAGATATATACTGCAGCAAACAGCTGCAGCAGCAGCAGCAGCAGCAGCAGCAGCAGCAGGGGGAGTGCAGAAGCAGAAGCAGCAGAAAAAACAGCAGCAGCAGAAACAGAAACACAGACAAACAAATATTTATAATTATAGAGATATGTATTTATACATATGCAACATAAATAAATACAAACATGTCATCTGCTGCTGCTGCTGCTGCTGCTACTGCTGCTGCTACTGCTGCTGCTGCTGCTGCTGCTGCTGCTGCTGCTGCTACTGCTGCTGCTGCTGCTACTGCTGCTGCTGCTGCTACTGCTGCTGCTGCTGCTGCTGCTGCTGTTGTTGCTTACCACCAGAGCTTGGCTAGCGTGCGTGTGGAGTGGACGGCCTCGTGAGGCTGCAGCAGCAGCCAGGGGGCTAGCCGCAGCAGCAGCTGCTGCAGCAGCAGCACGAGCTGCAGCAGAGAAGGCATTGGTTGTAGGAAGGTGAGAGCAGCAGCAACGTCATGCAGCCCCTGCCAGTAACACACTGAATGCATCAAGCAGCAGCAACGCAGAGCAGCAGCAGCAAGATCCCGACGA